TAAAAAATAAAATAAATAAGTGATTTTTAAGTTTCTCAGTTTTTTTTTTTTTCTTTTGAGACAGAGTCTCACTATGTTGTCCTCGGTAGGTGCTGTGGCATCACAGCTCACAGCAACCTCAAACTCCTGGGCTTAAACCATTCTCTTGCCTCAGCCTCCCAAGCAGCTGGACTACAGGCACATGCCACAATGCCTGGCTATTTTTTGTTGCTGTTGTCATTGTTGTTTAGCTGGCACAGGCTGGGTTCGAACCTGCCAGCTTCAGTGTAAGTGGCTGGTGCCATAACCACTATGCTATGGACACCAAGCCTATAGTAATTGTTTTTAATTTATTTTTATATTTTTAGAAACAGGAACTCACTCTGCCTTTCAGGCATTGTGGCATCCAAAATTGGTAAAGGGAAGTGGCTGGGCATAGTGGGTCATGCCTGTAATCTCAGCACTTTAGGAGGCCAAGACAGGAGGATTGCTTGGGGCTAGAAATTTCAGACTGTAATGAGTTGTGATTGTGCCACTGAACTCCTGCCTGAGTGACAGAGACTCTACTACTAAAAAACAAAAATCAAACTAGTATACACAAAGCTGGATGTGGTGGATGGCTCATGCCTATAATGCCAGCATTTTGGAGGCTGAGGTTGGTGGGTCACTTGAGCCCAGATGTTTGAGGCTGCAGTGAGCTGTGATTGTGCCACTGCACTCCAGCGTGGGCAACAGAACAATAGTCTGTCTCTAAAAAAAACAAACCAACCCCTCCATCCCCAAATCTGTTTTTTGGCCGGGTACAGTGGCTCATGTGTGTAATCTCAGCAGTTTTAGAAGCCAAGGTGAGAGGATTACTTGAGCCCAGGAGCTTGTGGTTATAGTGAAGTATGATCACACCACTGTACTTCAACCTGGGTGACAGAGACCTTGTCACTAAAAACAAAACAAAAAAACCCTTGTCTACATGAACATTCACAGCAGCACTACTCACAATAGTGAAAGGTGGCAGCAACCCAAATGTTTACTGATAGATAAATGGATAAACAGTATGTGGTTCGGACATACAATAGATTATTCAGCCATGAAAGGAATGAAGTACTGATGCATGTTACAAAGTTGATGCACCCTGAAAACTCTATGCTGAGAGAAGCCGGACACAAAGGGTCCATATTATATGATCCAGTTTATAGAGAAATCCGTAGAGAACAAAAGTAGATTAATGGTTGCTTGCCCCTTGGAGAGAGGGGCTGGAGGGTGTCGGCTAAAGGGCATGAGGGGTAGTTTCTTCTTTGTTAAATTTATTTTTATTTTGGCCTGGTGTGGTGGCTCATGCCTGTAATCCCCGCACTCTGGGAGGCCAAGGCAGGTGGATTGCCTGAGCTCACAGGTTCGAGACCAGCCTGAGTCAGAGGGAGACCTTGTCTCTAAAAATAGCTGGGCATTGTGGTGGGCACCTGTAATCCCAGCTACTTGGGAGGTTGAGGCATGAGAATTGCTTGAGCCCAAGAGTTTGAGGTTGCTGTGAGGTATGACACCACAGCACTCTACAAATGGTGACAAATGAGACTCTGTCTCCAAAAAATATATATATATATATAATTATTATTATTTTTTAAGATGGAGCCTCAAGCTATCCCCCTGGGTAGAGTGCCATGGCATCACAGCTCACAGCAACCGCCAACTCCTTGGCTCAAGCGAGTCTCCTGCC